GCAGCCTGGCACCTGACAGGGACACATGCCATGGGTCAGGGTCACTCTTCGAAAAGAGATGAGGGTAACTAAGGAGACCAGTGAGTGAGAGTGGACAAGGTTACCTGCTGTGCTCTCCTCTGTTGTGGTAGCTGTTCTCACTGTGGTGATCACCTCTGTTGAGGTGGATACCTCTGCTGTGGAGGGTGGTAGGGCTGTGGAAGGTGGGAGGGCTGTGCTGGTTGGTGGGGCTGTACTGGTTGGTAGGGCTGTGGTGGTTGGTAGGGCTGTGGTGGTTGTCTCTGGTGCACTGGACGTCTCTGTTAGGGAGGTCATTAGTTCAGTGACAATGGACATGGCATTGGACATGTCAAGCAGAGCTGGAGCACTAAGAGAGGACTAAGGAAGAGAGCCAGGTGCTCTGTCCTGCCATTCTGGGAATCTTCCTGCAGTACAATCAGGCCTGTGAAGGAAGTTCAGGCACACTAAAGAGAACAGTGAGTGACAGTGGACAGGGTTACCTGCTCTGCTCTCCTCAGCTTTGGTGGCCAATGTTGCTGTGGTGGTTGTATCAAGCTGGGTGAACATCGGTGGTGAGGAGCTCCATGTCACTGTGGTGGTCATCTCTGGTGAAGGGGACATGTCTTCTAGGGGGGTTGTTAGTGGTTTGGTGATTGATGTCTCTAGGGTTGATGTCTCTAGGGTTGTCGTCTCTAGGGTTGTCATTGGCACTGTGGTGGTCATCTCTGAGAACGACAGCTCTGCACTGGTGGTCAATGGCACCATGCTGGTTGGTGGCCCTGATGACGGTGTCTCCATTGTGCTGGCTATTAATGCTGACATGGTTGTCTCCCCTCGGGATGTCGTCATCTCTGAGAGGGCTGTTGATGCTGAGGTTGTTGTCTCCGTTAGAGATGCCGTTGTTTCTGGGAATGTTGTAGTTTCAACAACTAGAGGCAACTCGAATGCTGCCTCCAGTGCTGCTGTTGCTGGTGCCACGGTGGTTGTTGGTGCTGCATCAGCCTCTTCTGTGAACCCAGAAGAAAACCACCCCACACGTGAGGACTGTGCTTGTGCAATTGGTACATCTGTGTGCTACCTACAAGCCCAGTTCCTTAAGGACAAAGTGAAATCAAGTAAATTACCCTGATGGCATACTCCATCTTGTCTGGGGTCAATGGATAGAATGGAGGTGGGTAACAACCAGCTGAAAATTTTTCTTGGAAGTGGTATTTCCAGATGATGACAGCAGAGTAAGTTACTGGTATGCAAATAAATGGCACTTAAAGAGCCTTAAAAAGCACTGGTGTAGGTAGCATTTTCCTCTAGTGTGGATTCAACTCACCAGGCTCTTATTCCCTGAGAAAATGTGGAAAACTGCAATGTATACATAAAACAAACTGTTTTATGAGCAAACTGTTTTATGAGCAAACTGTTGCCATCAGCCATGTCTCAGTTCACGATCATCTTGAGAAAATAAAATACAAATTATCTACATTATCTTAAAAAATAATGGGCAAGTAGAATGACAAAACAACAAGGTGACAGACTATTCAAAATGAACGGATATTTGTAAAGGGAAAGGGTATTAATGACCCTAAGCTTGAAAGAAAACTTGAAAAATATGGAAACAATACGAAGTGAATTGTCAGCTATGACAATTTGGGTTATGACTGTAAAATTACTATTGCCCATAATGAATCCATTAAGATTTCCACTAACCCCATTCCTCCCTGATAAACTGATACCAGATATAACTTTGACTTTAATTTCTACTTGTTTCCTTATTGCCTCTGCCGAGTGATTAGATGGAATTAATATTCTGCATATTGCAATATATATCTGATCCTTGGGGCTTTAAATTGCTTTGTGTGGATGAGTAAGCACAGTTTGTACGTCACCCTGGTAAGAGAACCTGAGTCCGTGCTGGCCTGCAGGGTCAGCAGGGTGAAAAGACAGGGTTGTTGGAAGATCAGACTGTGCTTACTGTGAATAGGCCTTTTCAGAGGGATTGTGCCTTTCCACAGATAGAAAATTCTTCATAATAAACTAGAAAAAAATATTAGACCTATATCTGGTATAGCTTTTAGTCTTGAATGAATGAAACGTTATCTAGTAGGAGAATGTCTGCATACCTCCATGCTGACACATACAGATGGAGTGCAATTTATAGCAAAATTGTTTAGAAATAAAAATGTGACAGCACCTGAACAGACAACACCAGCATCTTCGTAGTGGGCACAGTTGTGTATCCTCCATCCCGAGTGATTGCAACGCAACAGGGACCTCTCATTCCCATTGCACCTCACGTTGTCCAGCAGGATGCTGCCAGAGCCTTGCCCAAAGTATGCACTTCCCATAGCTGCAATGGCCCGGCCACATCCCAGCTGCCTGCACACAACCTCGGCATCGGCAAGGTCCCAAAAATCATCACAAACTGTCCCCGACTCTCCTCTGTAGTGGATCTCAACGCGACCTTCACATCGGTGCCTTCCGTTCACCAGCTGGATAGAGGGCGCTTTGGGAGAGAGGGAATCGAGCACAAAACAGTCAGACAAATAAGCTAGAAGTGACTGTAAGGAGTATTCTGTCCTCTTGCCCTAGAAGGTGCTTGCCCAGCCCAATAGTAAGTGCCTGTAAGGACAGAGGTTTATTCACACCTTTTTTTTCTTCCTCTCTTCAAGATCTCAAAATCAGCTGTGTATATTTTATGCAAGATTGCTACAGTAAAGATAGAAAGCAGGCTAAGTAAAAACTATTTAAGCTAGAAAGGAAATTCTTTACTATAAGCAAATTATAATAGGAAAGAAAAACAGAGAAACTTAATTTCAGTCTCTTGATGAAAGCTAAGTAAAACTGTATTAAGAAAATAACACTAAATTTTGTTCTTTTTGTAAACAGGAAGAAAATATCATGTTTTAAGAACACATTTCATATTTATGTATTACTTTTACTCACTGCTGTCAAAATGTTTTATGCTAAAGAACAAAGAGACATCACAATTTGCATTGAATCCTGCTGGAATTTGGGATGCAGAGCCTGGCTTTCCTGCCCTCAATCTGGATCTTACCAGCAGCATGTGTGTGTAGCTCTTCAGTGTGACATACAAAGCCTCTGTTGATCTGAGTGCAGAAGGGAAATCAGAGCAGTGGCTCAAGCAGATCACCAAGACTTCAGCGACACAGCAAGATTCATCTTAGACAGCCAAGACTGTGTCTTTTCCCTAAATTTATGTTCTTGGAGTTGCTATAGTGCTGCCATATAAAAGCTACCAGGCAGATAGATTACAATTCATGGGATATTGTGCACTGCTGAAAGATGAGAATCAGGGCACTACTTTGCTTAAGATGATGTCCAAATTAGGCCCAATGAATCCTTCAGATAAAACATAGAATTCTAGAGAAGACAATATTCATTCTGTATTTCTCTCCATGGTTTAAATAATTTAACTGGAATTTCTCTTCTTCCTCTAGAACTTTCAGGAGAATTTTAAGGACATAGAGTCCTCACATCAAATACAAATCCTATTGTTTTTAAGAGTAATTTTACTGGGAGAATTCCACCAAATGTTCTACAGAATGGACAATAGTCTCAACAGGATGATAAAGGTTTCAATAGGAATTCAGTGGCTTTATTTCTTATATACAATTGAAGTGTAATTAGATTTCTGAAATAAAGAAATAACCTGTCATGTATACATCTGATTACTGCATTCATTCAGGTAAAACACATCTGCTTTTCACTTTGATTTGGCTTGTTTAGACATTCTGCTGTGAGTAGCATGAAAATCCTGATTTCAGAGAATCATTTTTGGTGAAGACATTTATTAAAGTCTTTACCACCAAGTGTAAGTGAGCAAACAAATGCAGTAACTTAAGATTTGCAGGATTTACACTTTGGAATTCAAAACATGCACACTGCACTTGTTATCCTTTGCTTTTCTGCCAAATGCATATTTGCCTTGTTATTAAACACTAAGTCATCCAAAGCAAAACAAATCTCAGGAGTTAACAGCTCCATGATTTCTTCACTGCATCTGATTCTTTGTTACTGGACTAGAAGTACAGTCAAGATGGTGGCCAAACTAAATTTGTCCTGATTTGTATGCATTTCAAAGGGAGAAGCTACAAAAATGCCCCTTGACTTATATCTGACTTGTTTCTTCAAATATCTACTTGAACTTGCACATTTTTGAACCCCGCTCACAGGAGTTCTGAGAGGTGACACAGCAAACCTGGCAAAAAGTCAGCTCGGGATTAGGAAATTAGAGCTGATCTAAACCAGGTTAATTTGCTTTCACTCAAGGTCTGTCATCACTGTGAGAGCACAGCCATCAGCTGGGGATGCAGTGAGATAGATTGAGTCCTGCCTCACACTTCAAAGGTATCAAAAAGACAAAAGCCTGTGATTATACAGCGAATACTCTGCTCCGGGAGACAGAGGCAGAGAGCAGAGAGAAGAAGTAGAACAGCCAAAGGGAGACGGCTCATCAGCAGGCAAGCAGAGGACAGATGGAGAAAATTGGATGAGGTGGATGATGGCAACGTAAATTCTCATCACAATGTTTAAATGGCTGGTTAGAAAAATCATCAGCAATTATTCTAAGATATACACAGAACTATTTAGCTCAAAAAAGTCATCCAAGTCGCTTAGGAGATAGAAACTAATCATGTAAGGAAGAATTCAATGGCCATAAAAAAGTTAACTAAAAGCATTTCCTCACTACCATTATTTTTAGATGTTCATCACTCACCCACAGTGCTGGAGTAAGAAAACTTTACTTCTTGTTATATTTCATTAAATTGTACATAAGACCAAGAAGAACCAAATAATACAAGGAATATTAAATATATAACATACATATGCATGCATATACTATGAAATAAATATACACTGAAAATAAATAAATAAATAAATAAATAAATAATCATTTCCATGATTCTTAGATCAGATTCCTGGAACTGGAGGAATGACTCGTTTATAACATACTCACAGACACAATTCTCGAAACGATGCAAGGCACTAAGATGAGTACGACCCTGTGACAGCAAAATGAACTCCACTAAACGGTTCAAAACGTTCTTACCATTCACTCTGGTGTTTAGTTCATCATTTTAGTAGAACAAAACTGTGCTTTCTCTTTCCTCTAATTCCTGCTTTAGCCTTTTTCCCAAACTGATACAAACATGAATCTAAATTCTGTTTGTGGAATCAACAGAGAGGCTCCAAGCATTAAATTTTTTTATGCACCCTGGAACAAGTCTAAGTGGTTTTTACCTGTTTTGGCCTCCAGAACTGCTGGACCCAACAGGAGTAGCCATGTCAAAACCATAGTGGTACCCATCTTACCAAGTACAATTGATAGAAAGGACCTCAGAATATATAGTCTCTATTTCTGAAGGGGAGTGGCTCTACAGGTTTCTTTCTCTACAGGAGAACAATAAAACAACCACAGTCCTCTGATCTGAAACAAACATATGTTTGATTTGTTATTTAATATTTTGTAACTTCCTGGGTTTTGCAAAAAGATAACATCTCAAGAGTAACATTTTCCATTGCCTGGAAGGAAATATTTATGCTACCATAGGTTTCACAATCATCTCATTGTACAAAAAAAAAAATGAGCTCCTATCCAAAAATACCTTTCAATTCCAGCTGATGAATCTCAGTATTTTTCTTTCATGGGGAGATTCCTTGACAGGATGGTAGTAGAATCTCAAAACTTAAATGGGCTTCTTCCAGCAAAACAGTAAAAGAGACTTACCAGCCAGTATGGCAAGTCTTCCTGGGGAGTCAAGAATGTCCTAAAGCTTCAGCATACTTTAAATAAAATAAGATTTGACCTGCTGGTCCTGTTGAAGTGTGACTGGAGAGGCTCTGAAGAACCTTGCAATTGAAGTCAACACCTCCACCCCCACAATGAACATTTGGCACATTTAATTTCAAGCCAAAACTCAAGTCAAAATTCACTGAGAGGCTGTTAGATTGGAAAAAAGTGTCAGAGGATCGGGGTCAGTTGACAACCTTTTGTGTAAACACTGTAGAAAAATGAGTAAATTTTGCACAGAGTTAAGAAAATTACATAGCTTGCAACTTAATTTTATTCTAAAACTTCCTTTGATGCTTTGAACCAACAAATGAGGGGGAAAATGTTCAGATTTCTATTAAGAAAATTTCTTAATATATTCCTTGTTTAATTTTGCATAGTGACAGTTACAGCTGTGTCATTCTTTGAAGAATGAATCCAAAGCTTTTCCACAACATGAAATAATGCTTAATTCTCATTCACCACTCTCTTGTCAGAGTGATTACTTTCCTCTCTTTCTGTGTTTTAACAATCTAACAAGAAAAAGTGGATGAGCATCCCTACCCTGAAGAGCCAGAATGTTGTTTTCCATCTCATTCCCACCTCTACAGCCATCATTTCTTGGATAGAATTATCCCAAGTTAAAATTGCTGCCATATACAAATTTATTGCTTCCAGGGACAGTCATCAAGGATGAAAACCAAAGGCCAAAGGAGAAAGAGAATGACCTAGAAGGTCTTTCCACAAAGGCCAACATTATTGGAATGGAAGAAGGAAGTGTAAAATACAAGAGGCCAAAGATAATGTTGGGAGGCCTGAGAGTAAACATTGAGAAGGGTAAATATGTTTCTTCTTTATGCAAACAACCACATTTGCACATGAATGAGGATATGTACACAACACCTGGTACTCACTATTCATATTCTTCTGGTTTTGACACCTTGACAAGAAGCAGAAAAAATCCAGTATGTTTGACTGGCCAATCAAACACTGCAATCAGTGAAGCGACAGTAAGTGATGGGTCACAATCCTTCTCCAAACTCCTGCAATGACTGAAAAGGGTGAGGAGGAAGGGGAACACAAAAGGGATTCCCAGGTGGTTCAAGTGTAAAAAACCATCTTAAGCTGCCTAGATAGAAGAACAAAATTGATTAATTAATTCTTCACTACACTCTTCGCTAATGAATTCTTAATTTCAAAAATCTAGATATTTCTAGACATCTTGATTATCAGACAATCTCTGCATGTAGAAATAGATAAACAGTATGTTCCGATTAATCTTAATTAATGAATTAATACAAATACTCTACAGCTCATGTTTTCATCCTTCCCATTGGTTAGATTAATCTCTTGCAGTAACAGACTTTTGTTTTTAAGGTCTTCTGGCAGCTTGAGGTATTTCTTTCTCTGTGAAAGAAGCTTTGAAAACACTTTCTCTTCTGCTGACTGAAAGTGAGGACACTTTGCAGACATACTGGTTTTGGTGAGATCAAGATGAAAACCACTGAAAGAACAAACAAGATTAATCCTCTTTCGTATGTGACTACAAGAAAGTATCTACACTGGAAAAAGGGTAGCCACAGACTTCTGAAAAAAGGTTTGATAGTCTGAATTCAGGTGTTATGATGCAATTAGGCAGTTTAGTCTAATTTATTAGGTTACTTGATGGCCTCTTGGGCTCTGTTGACTGTGTCATGTGAAGTATGTCATTGCAAACTGGTCTGCACTTGGTCGGTGGTGAGGATGCAAGTGGATCAGAACTGTCCACCACTGGATTTATTGGTAGATTTCCCAAATGGGGGAGGACAGAAGGTGGGAAGGAAGGTCTGTGGCAGAGACATCGTTCATCAGGCACATGTACTTTGAGGATGACCCTTTCCTTGTCATCAAATCCATCCCTTGCTGTGCTGAGTGGATCACTGGATTTCCCTGAGTCTGGACAATCTCTGGTCTGTACAACAGGACTAGATGAAAGGCAGGTCATCCTCCTGGGTTGTTCTGCCCTTCAAAGGTGCCTGTAGGCAAAGGGGAGGTGAAGACTCTCAATCCTTGTTGCTCATGTGTGGAAAACAAAACTCACACTTTCTGTGTGCAATGCCAGTCCCTACGTGCATGATCCCATCTCCACAACATGGAGCGGTGATGACAGGCCTGCCTGGAATCATGAGGAGAAGGCAGCTTGAAGGAAGAAATGGTACAGGCTGTAATGATGATTCCTGTCAGAGCTGCCCACATCCTCCTTGTCAGGTCAGGATGTCACCCTGGAGTACAGCACACTTTCCTTACACGTCACTACTTTGACTCTGGCTCACCTCACACTTAGTACATTACGCTGTTCCAAATGAACTTACCTCTTTCATCGCTGGCTGGAAAACAGGAAAGTCTGAAGAAGGGCATTTCTCAATCAACACCAATGACCTTTCCATCTGTATTAAGTAGTTTCTTCTGAAGAAATTCTTCCTTTTTTTATTGTTTTTTATTTTGTTTTTGCGTGGGAATAAGAGACAGGACACACTTCCTTATGGCAACTTACGTACATTCTCTCCCTCCCCCACTTCACAGGTGTAGAAATGTGTGAGAGCAAGAGCAGGAATCGTTGCTTGGAAAAGTCACTTTGTCAGAAGCCACACTTTCCAGCCTGATAACATGTTAGCCGTGAGTTCATACACAGAAGTGCTTTGTTTGCAAGTACACAAAAAAGAGTATTACTCAAAAAAACCCCACTTTCTTTCTTTCATGCTTTTATTACACATTTATCTAACAGATTTGATCATATTCATCCTCCACATGAAATCCTATAAATGGTCTACATCTACTCAGAGGAACATGTACTTGGGAAGAACCATACTCCCCAAAGTAAGGATCACTGTACAGGAATACTTCCTCATGTGCATTTTTGCTTATGGCTCATTATTGAGATTTTTTTACTGCAAAGCAACATTTTTGTTAGACTACACGGAGTAAATCATGGTGTTACACAGGTGTTTTATCTGCATATCAGCAATGGCCAAAGTTCTTTCTCAAGTCACCTAAATGAGACAGACACTCAACCAAGAGTTCAACTGAGATGCCCTGAAATGTCCAGCATTGAAGGTGCTTATTTGAATGCTAGAGTGGAAGAATTAACGTTTCTTTACACCTTCGGTATGTTCAGACTAGGTTTTAAAATCAGACTGCTTTAAAAGTTCAGTTCATGGTAACATCAGGTGTAATCTTGATACAAGACGTTCTTCTGACGAGAAGATAGTGGAATAGTCAAGTAAGAGTTGCCCTTCATGCTGATTGCAAAACCAAACAACAAAGCAGATGGCTGGTGAAAATATCCTTCCACCTGCAAGCCTGGGTTGCCTCTCACATTATCTGGTAGGGGATGGGTTTCTGCAGTTCACGCTTCAAAACAAATCCTCCCACGGTGAGAAGAGCAGCAGCTCCCAGCACCACGGCAGTGACAGCCAGGGGGACATGGGAGCTGCCAGCAGGCTCTGAGCTCGGAGACTCCCCTCTTGCCTGCATGTCAGAGTCAAGGTCTGTTCACAAAAGAGAAAGGCTTACATTTGTTTTCCTGACCTGGTTAATCTCAGAGGTAATTAGGCAAAGAGAACTTGAATTACAATGCTGTAATCTGGGTTAGATCAGAAAACAAATTGTTTTACTCAAAATGATTCTGTGGCCCCGCAAAAAGAGTAAGGGTTATGGCAAGAAATTAAAGAGTAACTGAGAGTCTGTAGTTATTACACTCAAAGACCACAAGATGCCATTTTCTGACAGCGGAAACAATGGATACAAGGCACTGGGAAGCAACATGTCAAAGGGGACATAGAGATTGATTGTTAATGAATGAGAGACATGCCAATCAGGCACAGTCAGTTTAGGAATATTAATATAAATCCAGCAGGGAGATGAGTTATAGCTCATCCCTCTTTCTGCAGAGCTGAATCAATTGCCATTGTGCAGAACAAAGAATGGATCTAAACCATGACAGAAAGGAAACAGCTTGTAAAACTAATTTAAATATTATATTAAAAAAATATAATAATCCCCATAAGAATCATAGCAGAATTGCAAATAAATGGGTTTCATGTCTGAACTGCAATGCAAACAGACAGTGACACACAGAGTCTTACGTTATTTAAGATATTTAAACTTACCAGTGTTCCTGTTCTCAGCGTGAGCTTCCCGAAGCTGCACAGGTCCAACAACAACATTCACTCGTTCCTGGGAAGAACCTGAATTCCTCTTGAGCCTGCTCACACAGCCCTGATAGCAGCGGGAGGAGTAGTCTCTCTGCCTGCACACCACCAGCTCGCACTGCAGGTAAACTGACGGGTATTGCTTAGCAAAGGAGAAAGCGTTAAACGAAAACCGAGCGACGCTGCCGCGCGGTGAGGAGTGCAGAGAGTAGGTATGGTCCTTAACACACCTGGGGAGACATAAAACCAACAGATTAGCCATTGACCAATAGCTTCTCTTGAATGGCAGCACTATTGCATTACCTTTGTGCAATAAGTTTCAGAGTTAAATATAAAATCAGAGATTGGAAGGATTAAGAAAAGCGCGTGCTTTTAGCAAGAGGAGGGATTATTAAATGCACGCAGCACAGAAATTTCAAAGCTCAACAAAGTTTGTGTAAGCATGGAGAGCTGAAAAATGACTAGTGGTTCTACTGGTTTCTGTGTTTCAGGTGAGAACCTGTTTTGCATTTGCCTGTGTGCAAAGAGGTCCCTGAAGGTTGCTGAAGAAAGAGAAAGTGTCCTTTTCTACTCTGGAAGTACAAAACTAATTCTAATACACTTTTTGTTTTTTTTTAATAAACATGTTCTTTAGTGCTTCAGTATACCTTGGTATAAAATTAAGCAAAATGTTCTGGGTTTCTAGAATAACAAGAAAAGGCTAAGGGACTTCTTTGCTTTCTGAGTAGACAGTTTTCTGTTCTAGCTAAGATGCTGTAAAATTCTAACTGTGATATATGAAAGTGTAGAGCTATTGACATCCCTACGTTTCATATATTTATTTCAGAAACAAAATCAGACCTCAATTTCTGCACTTGAGAAGAAATCTCAGTGCAGATCCTCGAGTGAAATCTCAATGCTTGACTGCAACTTCTGAATGGCATTTCTTTGTCACACTGTATTTTACTCAGGCTTTGCCAAAAGGTTGTTGTTAGAAGTGTACTTGTAGTGAGAATTGCAGCCAATGTACACTGGCCCTAAATCACCTCTTTCACAAATTAAGCTCTTTCAGAAGTATCCATATACTTTCAAAGTAATTCCTTAGAAAGTTCTTACCCCCTTTTGATCAATTCATAGGTCAATGTTCTAAAATCACTGGGATCCGGTGATGCCACGCAGGTGTCCACAAACACTATCAGATTTTGGTCAGAGCTGTGAAGAGATGCTTGGAGGAACAAATTCTGATTCGGGTCAACGTAGTATGGGAAGTTCTGCACCGGCCACAGGAAAGATGAGGAATTGTAGAATGCCAGGTTCACGTCGTATCTGCCATACTGGGTTTCATTGACATCAGCGATGTCATTGGCCGTGTACACTACTTGCACCCAGGTGTTCTGGATCATTTTGCAGCTGACATGGAGGTGAAGGTCCTTCTGCCTTTTGACGGTGTAACCAGGAGCAGACACTTTTATCACGTTGGAGTAGGTGATGGTTTCGCTGTCGCCCTATTTGACACATTAAATGAGTACAAAATTACCACGTGTGGTCGTGTTCACTGAGTGTACCAGGTGTGTGCTATTAACTTCTGTATGTGCCAGGTCTTAGTATTAGTCAGAAAGAACATGTCATACTCAAAAATACCTAAGTATCTGCATGGGGTTGCTCACTCAACTCTCCCCTCTACTCTTGTTCTCTAAAACATCATTCTGAAATAGGTATAGGGATTTCCTAAACCCTGGAAAGGATAAACAGGGATATTTAACAAACTTTAGCCTCCAGAAACATGTGATTATTTTCTATGTTTTGAACACCTGTGGCCTACTACACCCTTTGCAATTCAAGACAATTTTCTAAATGTCTGTTAAATTTCCATGCCCAGAGCTCTCCCAGATGTGTTGACACCAACCTGTCTCTGCGTGGCACAGCCGTTGTATGGAATGTTGAATATAACCATCGTTGATGTGATTGTTGGCCTACAGTTGGAGTCAGGCAAGCTGATGCTCCTCACTGAGTAGCCCTGTGACTGGAGATAGTGTCTGTCCACAACTGCGCGCATGGAGGTTGGGTAGCACGCAAGGGCTAGGGAAGAAAATATGAACTATTAGTGGTTCCAGGCACTTGATAATGCTTGCATATTGCAACTTCAACAAATACAATCCCTGCTATCATTTAGAGATAAGCCAAACTGCTTACTTTTACACTTTAGACTTAGATATGAGGAAGCAATAGTCTCTGACATACTTCAGCTGACCTTCAGTTGCTCCCCTGGCAAAAAGACGTAGCTTTACAATAGTTTTTTGCTGAGACCTTGAGCCTCTATCACCACTCACACAAAATGATAAGAAGTGGGAGCTTTTCCTGAATAAGAATCCGGAAAATATTGTGGAAAGCGTAGAGCTGAAGTTTCAGACTGGTTTACAGAAACACAGCTCGGCTGGGAGGGGATCCTGATACTGTCTCCATGATGCTTCACTGAGTCCATGACATGAAAAGCAATGATTCCACGGAGAGTTTGGCCTTTGGTGGAGTGAGATGTCTGATAACAAGGACTTACTAGCAACACACAGCCTCTTGAAAAGCAGTTAAAAAGACAAGAGAGCCAAATGTTTGTGCTGGAGAGGTTGTGAGTGTGCTTGAGATACACCTCAGCATTGGGACTGCAGGACAGTGCTGGAACAGATCACCCAGAGAAGTAGCTTTGAGTACTTCATCCTTTGAATATTTCTAGAGACACAGCTAGACAAGTTCATAATGGACCTGATCAGGTGTTGGCAAGAGCTCTGCTTTCAATAGTTGGACAAGGAAACCTCCAAAAGTCCTTTCTAACCAATATTTCTATGATTCTTATGAAAATTTGCCCAGAAAGGTACAAAAATGTATATGAATTATAATGTGATACAAAAACCCATGAATTTAGAAAACATCATAGAAAACATCTAGAGGCAAATAAATTGATACCTGAAATTTTTTTTAAGAACAAAAAATAATTATTGCCTGAAAATGACCGGTCAGTAATTAGTTGCAAAATTCAAATTGGAATGTCAGTTATGTGGGATTTCTTCAACCAAAGTAACACATATTTATATGGCAAATAAAATCAGTGTATAAAAGCTTATGAGGAAAGAAAACATTACAAACAGAATGGAATTATAAATAGAATGGAAACTTACTGGCATTCTGGTCTGCCAGAAAGGACTGATACTGAGCCCGAAACCTTCCATTGGAATATTTGGAGTCACTGTAAAACTTGACAGTCATGAAGTTTGAGGATGACCTGTATGTGAGCTTGGAAGTAGAACAAATTCTTCCAAGTAGAGGTGAAGTATTGGGTGGCCCATCATAGATCTCAATATAGTCATACAGGCATCCACCCAGCAACCTGAGGAAGAAATTTGAACATATAATGAAATGTATTTGGTAAACTTTGGTTTTTAAATGCTGAACAAACAATAAAATAAGATTCTGCATTCACATAATTCCCATGTGTATTTATCATTCACACAGAGGATGGGAAATGTGCCCAGGAACTGTGGATGCAGTTGAGATCTGGAATCTATTAATTGCCCAGCAGAAAGTTGTTTACTTACTGAACACTTTCAAATGTGAGCATAATGCGAAAATTATTTGCTACTTGTATTTCCCACAAACAATCTGCTCTCTCTGGATAATTCAAAGGATAAGGACTCTCAAAAGTCCCAGAGGGAGTAAAAAGTAGGCTACCACAAAAAAATCTTGTGTCTGAAAAAAAAAAAGAAAAGAAGATTTAGATATGATTCACTTAGACTTAATTATAATACAATATAATATATTGTACACAACCAAGGCAAAGTAAAAGGAGGTTAAATCTCAAAGGAAACTGAATGGCTGTTCTCTTCTTCGTTAGACAACAGGTGTGATGATCTCTTCAGAGAATTCTGACAGACCCTTGCAGTCAGAATTCAGTCATATCTGTGTCAGGGAAAGTCATATCATAGTCCAAATACCATGAAATCACAGAAGGAAAACAAAGGAAAACCATCTAGCACACAGGCACCTTCACTTGCTGGGGACTAGGCAATACTCTATGAATTCTATGGCACCCACCATTAGCTTCATAAGGTTGTGCTATTCCCAGGCTCTGCTCTCCCACACAGAAGACCAAAGACCAACCTCTGCAGCACTTCCTGGTTCCGAAAATAAGTGGACAGAAAAACAAGCACAAATTCAGACCCACCTGGAGTAGTGGTGCCTATGGTAGTGGTCATGGTTGTGGTATCTGTAGAAGAGGAAAAGAAAGAAGCAAGTGAGGCCCTGGTGGATGAAGGAGCAT